TTCTTTAATAATCCTGGAGCGACGCCCTGGATGGACTGAAGGGAATTTCACAGCTCCATAAACTGTTGGGATTCGCAGCTTCTGAAAGATCAGTTGAATTCCAGATGGATTTGGGCAGTGCTGGGTGAGAGCTGCAGGTCCTGCAGACACAGCCAGGGGAAACATGAGGCTCTGCCTCGTGTGGAAAGGGTTTGTCCAAGGGACACCTCTGGGCTCCTATCCCTGCCCACAGGATTCCAAGAAGGATTGGGAGCCCACGTGGTGACCTGTGACACTGAATCATGGAATGGTTTGGGTTGGAAGGGACTTTAAAGATCATCTCATCCCACCCCTACCTCCCACTATCCCAGGTTGCTCCAACCTGGCCTTGGACACTCCCAGGGATCCAGGGGCAGCCACAGAGTCTCTGGGAATTCCAGCCCAGCCCCTCCCCACCCTCCCAGCCAGGAATCCCTTCCCAGTCTTCCATGTCTCCCTGCCCTCTGGCAGTGGGAAGCCATTCCCTGTGTCCTGTCCCTCCAGCCCTTGTCCCAAGTCCCTCTCCAGCTCTCCTGGAGCCCCTTCAGACTCTGGAAGGGGCTCCAAGGTCTCCCTGGATCCTTCTCTTCTCCAACTCAACCCCCCCAGCTCTCCCAGTCTGGCTCCAGAGCAGAGGGGCTCCAACCCTGGGAGCATCTCCATGGCCTCCTTTGGACTCGCTCCAGCAACTCCACATCCTTCTGATTTTGGGATCCCAGAGCAGGAGGCAGTGCCCCAGGTGGGGTCTCACAAGGACACAAGGTGTGGTCTCACTCAACTTATAAAGCAGAAACCTAAAATCTCTAAATTCTGGAGCGGATCCAGTTCCACAATCACTGCAGAATCAGTGGGAGCAGCAGCTCTTCCCTCTTCCCAAGGGAATTGCTCTCATGGAGATGCAGCTCCAGCCCCAAACTTTCCGGTGCAGAAGGAGCGGTTTGGCCTCACAGCCTTCACTAACCCCACACTTACAGGTCCAGGTCTCTCCACAAGCAGCACAAGTGGGGTTTTCACCCCTTCAGACCCCAAAACCAGCCAGACCAGTGCCCTGAGAACTGCCTCAAACCCCATTTTCTGGGAACAACCCGGACAAAAGCCGCCCTGGAAGATCCCAAGGAGTGGAAGGGAGAAGCGAAGCGAGAGTTGACGGATGGTGGAGAACGCGCCAAACACCAGGGGTGGGGTTGGGTGATAAAGAGGAACTGGTGGAGGAAGTGAAGGGGAGAAGAAAATAAACTTCTCAAGTTGCTTTTGATCTGAAAGGAATAGGGTCTCTGGGCTTCCTGATGTTTTCCAAGTGGGGAACAGTCAGAGAGGGTTTGCTGGAGGAATGGAGGGGCTGGAGCGTGTCCAGGGAAGGGAATGGAGCAGGGAAGGGGCTGGAGCAGCAGGAGCAGCTGAGGGAGCTGGGGGGGCTCAGCCTGGAGAAAAGAGGAATCAGGGGGCACCTTCTGCCTCTGCAACTCCCTGATGGATCCAGGGAAGGGTCGAGCTCTGCTCCCAGGGAACAAGGGACAGGAGGAGAGGAAACAGCCTCCAGCTGTGCCAGGGGAGGTTTAGGTTGGACACCAGGAGGAATTCCTTCATGGAAAAAGTGGTCAGGCATTGGAAGGGGCTGCCCAGGGAGGTGGTTGAGTCCCCATTCCTGGAGGGATTTCAAATCCCTGTGGATGTGGCCCTTGGGGACACGGCTCAGGGGTGGCCTCGGCAGTGCTGGGGGAACAGTTGGACTCCACGATCCTGGAGATCTTTCCCAACCTGGACAATTATGATTCTTCCCAGTCTCACTGCAAAGACTAAAGGCATCTTTTCTGCACCTCCTCTGTTGCCCCCAAATCCATGAATTAAAGATTTGTTTACGGAGAATTCCGTCTGGGAATGTGTCGCCCGCTCCTCTCCACGTCCAAGCCTGGCTGAGCACAGCTTAAAATTAAACAATTAAACCCTGTCCTAACTGCACCAAAGCTCGTCTCAGCTTCAAAATGCTGAAATGAGATCATGGGGTAAGAGCTGGTTTGGCTTGAAATGTTATTAAACACTGAGTTTCAGACTGGAAAACTCCTGGATTCTCCCAGAGACAACATGAAACAAATAGAAAATATGGCTCCAGTTACTTGTCCTCCGGCAGGGACTTCCCTGGGAGGGTGGTGAGGGACTGGAACAGAATTCCCAGAGAAGCTGTGGCTGCCCCTGGATGCCTGGAAGTGTCCAAGGCCACGTTGGAGCAACCTGGGATAGCGGGAGGTGTCGGGGTTGGAACTGGATGAGCTCTAAGCTCCTTTCCCACCCAAACCATACTGGGATTCCAAGATTCTATGACCAGATTCCATGTTATGCCCACCTCCCCTCCAAAAATCCACCTGTAGACAGAGATGGGCCAGGACAAACGGGAACCTTCACCAGGAGCCTTTTTATTGTGGCATTTTTATGGCAACACAAACACGTTACCAGCCGAGCTGAGCTGCTCCAGGGGTTTGTTATTCCCACTTCCCTGGGCACAGAGGGTTCCTGGGATACACAACCTCCCTCAGAGGGTTTTCAGGGACTCACGAGGTGCACAGAACCTTTTTCCTTCTGGGATGACGGCACCAATGTGGCAAAAGCCAATCCCAAATCATCTCCTGGTCGGGGCACAGCCACGTTGCAGTTCCCAACGCCAGTCACGGAATCCCACAATGGTTTGGGTGGGAAGGGACCTTAAAGCCCACCTAGTTCCAACCCTGACACTTTCCACTCTCCCAGGCTGCTCCAAGGGAATCCAACCCGGCCTTGGACACTCCCAGGACAGTCCCTTGTCCCTAAAACGTCCCTCACCACTTCCCTCTAAAACCCCATTAAATGCTTTTTGCACATTTATTTTAAACTTCTTTTGACAAACAAAGGCAAAACGCAGGGGCAGGTTAGACTCAGCCTAAACCAGCTCCTCCCAGCTTAAAAAAATCTGCTTTATTCCTTCCCAGGCTCTGTATTATCCTTATCTTGACACAACACCACTCCCCCCTCTCAGTTTTTCAGAGACAGCAGCTCCAAAGCCTCACACTTTCTGCCTGAACACTAATGGGGCTTCATATCCTTAACAGAGCTGTCATTGCCCCTCAAAAACCTGTCACTCCAACGTCTCTTTACTCCAACAACCCACCTGAGCATTTTTAAGGCTTTATTCCACAGCAGCCTCAACCACTGTGGGAGCAAGAAAACACTTTCCTTCCTTCCTTCCTTCCCCCCTTCCCTGCTCCTACTTGAAAAGGCAGCTCTGTAAATAACCAGTGAAAAAAAAAACAAACCACCAAAAAAACTACTTCAAATTGGCTTTTTTTTCAAAGGCCCCAGACTTAGAAACGATAAATAAATTATAAGCAGAGTTATGTATTATAAAAAAATACCCGGAAAGGAGCCGTGATTAATTGGAGCGAGGGATTAATTTCTTGTGAGATGTGACAGGGGGGGGACGTGTTTACTCGTGGAGCCAAGACAAACATCGTACACCTTGTCATCAGTCTGAGGCACAAGGAAAAAAAAACGGGTGCCATCCCCCGGAATATTCCTCTCCCTGGCTTGTCATGATAAATTCCGCTCCGACTGCATAATGACACCCTCCTGCCACTCAGCCAGACGGGAGCCTAACAAAGGGGATTTTGCTTTGAAAACCCTGTGATAAGCTATTTGCTAACTGCTTCCCCTCCCCTCCCCAAAAATCGGAATTTACAATTTAAATCGGGTTAGAGGAGCTGCCAACAGACAGCTCGGGGCTCCGGGGCAGGGAGAGGCTCCGTGAGGTGACCGCAGATGAGGGGGCGGCGCAGAGGCGAAGGGGTCTGGGCAGCCCCCCATTCCTGCAGGAATGGGGTAGGAATGGGGTCATTTCTCTGGGATTCGTGTCCCTTTCTGTGTGTCACAGGTGGGGTGGGGTGGGAAGCAGGATGTGGCTCCCCAGAATCCCTGGGAGAAGGTCTTGTGGCGCCGGACTCGGAGAATATTCCCTCTGCCCAACTCCCGGCGCCAAATTCAGGGTCTCCTCCAAGCCTAAAGAAATCCAGGGATTCTCCAAAGCACCGGGGAGAGGATCTTTGATAGGAGTCACATCCTAATCCCAATTTAGTGGCTCATATTTAGGAAGTGTGGCCGTGCCCATCCTGACCAGGAAGTGCCATCCCGACCCAGCTCCTGCCTGGCACAAAGAATTCCTGTTTGGAAGTGAAGGCAACATCTGATGGACAAACTCTGGAATCATTGCAGTCCCTCCTTAATGGTAGCAAAGGAACAGGAGGAGGATATTTCCAGGGCATGATTTATTACCCACAGAACACATGGAGAGTAAAATCAGGGCCTGTGTGCTCCTAAAAGGCTCATTTCCTTGGATGCCATGGAATTCCCGATCCCTCTGTGGAGGGATTGATCCCTCCTTGGGACTACAGTGAGCTGGAAGCAATCAGATGCTCTTTAGTTTTTATTAGATGATCTTTAAGGTCCCTTCCAAACCCAAAGCATTCAAGGATGCCATGAGTTCCTAAACTGGATGCAGTGAACGTTTCCCTTTCCAAAGCATCTTTTTGTGGACCATTTAAGGATTTTAGGAAGGAAAACCACAACACATCTGTCCAATGCTAACTGAATATACTCATATAAATAAATATAACCATACATGTGCATAAATGTATTTACACATGCACTGTTTGCCTATAAAAACATGCAGATTCACCCCAAAAAAAGGCTATAAACTCATCCTGCTAAACATTTTTATTCCTGTTCACAATGAACATGTGGTGTTATTGGGTTTTTTTTAAACCTGAATTTAGGGAAAGGGGGAAAGGGAAAAAGGTAGATCTTTTGTTATACCAAACACCCAAATAGACCAGTGGTTGCAGATGCATTTATTGAACACAGTGGTCCATAAATTTCCACACGTGCTCAAAGGAGACATCCAAAAATAAAGGAACGAGACACGCAGAAATACACGGAAAACTGGATCCAGCTGCAAAGGCAAAACCACGGGATTGGACGTGCAACAAATGGCTCCCAGTGCCAGAAAATAAATTGTGGTTGAAAACAAGCTCTGACTTAAAAAAAAGCAAAAAAAAAAAAAAAGACAAATCTTACCTGGTAAGGTCTCACTTTGTGGTGGATTTCCTGAATTCCCACCTCTCTCGTCCTCACGTCGCGGCACTGGGAAAAGGGAATCACAGAGGAGACGGTCAGGAAGCTCCGGACCCAAGAGATTTCCGGGCAATGTCGGGTCCAAAACTCCACTGAAACAGCTACTGGGATGGATTTCAAATGGGGGGGAGCCTTCCCAGATAAAAGGGATCACTGATCCATCCCTGCTCCAGCCCTAATCCAACCGGGAGAGAGGGCTCGGCGCTCAGCGGAAAGACCCGCCGGCAAAAATCGATTTGCTGAGTGGCCATTGTGGCTCACGAGGAAAAGCAGCCTCGGATTCCCAACCAGCAGGGAGAGGAAACATCCCTGGAACAACAGGAGAGGGGAAAAACGGCTTTGGAATCACCCATTGTTGCCCCTGCACTGGGAAGGTGGAACGCCGGCAAAATCCGGGCATCAAATAGAGAGAGTTTGAGTCCCGGCAAAGCTCTCCTTGTTTTTTAAATGGGAGTTGCTCCAGGGGCTCTTCCCGAATATCTGAGTGCAAACATGACCCAGCAGCCACGGAGAGCTGCCAAGGCTTGGGATGAGTCCTGGAAAGGAGTCTCCCCTCCCTCAGAAGTGAGACAGCGGAGGAGAAGAGGCTCAAGTGCTGAAGGATGGGTTATGACTCGCACAGATTTTGTGGTTTTCGGGAAAACCAATAAAATTTGAGGACTTTGGCACTCGCTCCCGTTAGCAAAGATGTTGGGACAGTGTGGGAATTCCTGCTGTGGGAGAGGGTTCATCCAGGTTTTTGTGGGTTTATTGGTGAGCCAGTGCTGAATTTGACCCAGCTTCAGCCAGGAAAGTGCTGCCACAACAGTTTTGCCCAAAGCAGCTGAGCTGCAAATGCTCATTTCATTCCACAAGTGCTGCTGGAATTGGAGGGAAGAATCAGGGAATCACGGAATCAGAATGGTTTGGGTGGGAAAGGAGCTTAAAGCTCACCCAGTGCTACCTCCTGCCACAGGCAGGGACACCTTCCACCAGCCCAGCTTGCTCAGAGCTCCACCCAGCTTCACCTTGGGCACTTCCAGGGATGGGGCAGCCACAGCTTCTCTGGGAATTGCATCCCAGGGCCTCAGCACCCTCACAAGGAAGAATTTCACCCCAGTATCCCATCTAGCCCTGCCCTCTGTCACTTTAGAGCCATTAATAACCTCCACCAGTGGGTTAAAATTGCTCTGACAGCACCAACACCCACCTGCCCCTGTAATTCCAAAAGCCAGACATTTAAGCCAGGGAAGGAACGTGTGACAATCCAATTCCCACAGAAACTCAGAGCAGTGGGAACAAGCTCAGCTCTGCCTCGTGCCCTGTCTCCAAGCGCTTTTAAATTCCATTATTGGTATAAAGCCAAGATCTCACAAAATAATAGGGAAAATGGGGGGGGTTGTGTCTGGGTTTTGGAGTGGGGTGTGATACACCCAGGGCTCGGTGTTGTATCGGGATTCTACAGCATGGAATCATGGAATTGTTAAGGTTGGAAAAGCCCTCTGAGGTCACTGAATGCAACCGTCCCCCAGCACTGCCAAGGCCACCCCAAGGGCCACATCCACAGGGATTTTAAATCCCTCCAGGGATGTGGAATCCACCCCTGCCCTGGGCAGCTGTGCCAGGGCTGGACAACCCTTCCCATGAAGGGATCATTCCCAATATCCAACCTAAACCTCCCCTGGCACAGCTGGAGGCTGTTTCCTCTCCTCCTGTCCCTTGTTCCCTGGGAGCAGAGCCCGACCCTTCCCTGGATCCATCAGGGAGTTGCAGAGCCAGAAGGTGCCCCCTGATCCCTCTTTTCTCCAGGCTGAGCCCCCCCCCGCTCCCTCAGCTGCTCCTGCTGCTCCAGCCCCTTCCCTGCTCCGTTCCCTTCCCTGGACACGCTCCAGCCTCTCCATATCTCCCATTTTTGGGAGTGTCCCAGAGCTGTCCCCAGCCCTGGAGGTGCCCCAGCAGTGCCAGCACAGGGGGACAATCCCTTCCCTGCTCCTGCTGCCACACCAGGGCTGGGTGACAACTTGCCTTGGAAAAAGTGCTTGGAAGTTCTGTGGAAAGAGGGAAGCAGCGTTGGAGGGCTGGGTGGGAATTTTAAGGAGTCCAGGGCAGGAGGTCTTAACTCCGGGAACAGCAAAGACTGGGAACATCCAGCATCCCAAACACCTCGTGCCCTTGACTCCAGCACAGGCCTGGGGGTGACACAATTCCTCGTGTCCGGGACAGACAGTGACGTCCAGACTCGTGGAATTAAGACAGAGAGTGACACTCCTGCTTCCTGAAGAGGAAACTGCTGATTGAACACCCAAACACCTCGTGCTCCACGTCCTCGCCCGCGACTCCAGCGACCTCCTCGCTCCTCAGCTCTGCTTTATCACAGCCCAGCCCTCCCAAACCTGGCCAGCAGGAATTCATAATTCCCCCATAAATCCACCATTTCCTGCCAGTAAACACAGCAGGTGGCTTCTTACTCATCCCAAAGTTCCAGGGGGTGACGATTGCCCGGAGCGGGCGTTTCGGAAAGCTCGAACCCCGCTTCGTTTGGCTTTGTGCTGCTTCCCCCTTTTTATTGCAACATTTCGGTGCTTTCTCCATCACCGGGGGTAGGATGGAGTGGTTTGGTTTCTTAGCAGCATCGCTTTCCCCAGGTTCAGCTTTCAAACGCTGAGAAAATCTCACTGAGTTAAAATACAGCCATTTCTTGACTTAAAAAAACCTCACAGTCGGTTAAATTACAGCCATTTCTTGCCTAAAAAACGCTTAGTTAGACAAAATACAGCCATTTCTTGACTAAAACCCCCTTTAAAATTAGTTAAAGTACAGCCATTTCTTGACTAAAAAACCCTTACAATTAGTTAAAATACAGCCGTTTATTGACCAGAAAAACCTTAGTTAGACAAAATACAGCCATTTCTTGGCTAATAGCCCTTAACAATTAGCTAAAATACAGGCATTTCTTGACTAAAAACCCCTCACAGTTAGTTAAAATACAACCATTTCTTAACTAAAAAAACTTCACAATTAGTCAAAATACAGTCATTTCTTGACTAAAAAACCCTCGCAGTTAGTTAAAATACAACCATTTCTTAACTAAAAAAACCTCAGTTAGTCAAAATACAGCCATTTCTTGACTAAAAATCTCTTAAGATTAGTTAAAATAGAGCCATTTATTGACCAGAAAAACCTTAGTTAGTCAAAATACAGCCATTTCTTGACTAAAAACCCCTCACAATTAGTTAAAATACAATTATTTCTTGACTAAAAAAACCCTTAGTTAGTTAAAATACAGGCATTTCTTGACTAAAAAAACTCATAATTAGTTAAAATACAGTCATTTCTTGACTAAAAAAACCCTCACAACTAGTTAAAATACAGCCATTTCTTGACTAAAAATCCCTGACAATTAGTTAAAATACAATCATTTCTTGACTAAAAATCCCCTTAGTTAGT